CCATCTCCCCCACAACCTGCTGCATCCCCTGCCTTGCTGAATCCTCTCTGCTCAGACAGAAGCAGCAGCCCCGCCGGCCTCACCTCTAGGCTTGATTGATGAGCAGTTTCTGTCCGTTTCCTTTCAAAGCCACTTGTTGTCATCACTGCTCTGTTGATCAGACGCCGCCATCTTGTACTTGGGCGGTTGTAAAGCTGCACCCACTCTCATTCTGCCCTCTGCACCCTCTCCTGCTGGGGGTGCCATGGGTGACAGTACCAGTGAAAGGTGGTACACAGCCTTTTTGTTCCTTTTCTGAATACCCCAAACACATTTCTTTACTATGCGACCATCTTACTCACAGTGTAACAGGTCCTGACTATGAAGACCATCCAAAGGCTGTTTTAATAAACAGAAGGGTGCAAAACAATTGCCCTAATTGTTCTCAAATCAAGAACTAAACTACTTGAGGGAGAGGCAGGCGAATCTTTGTGAGTTCAAGGCCAGCCTGGTCTATGGCGTGAGTTCCGGGCCAGGTTCCAAAAGCTACAGAGAAACCCTGTTTCAAAACAAAACAACAAAACAAAACAAAACAAAACAAAAAAACCAGACTTACAAAAGCTGGGCAGTGGTGGCGCACGCCTTTAATCCCAGCACTCGGCAGGCAGAGGCAGGCTGATCTCTGTGAGTTCGAGACCAGCCTGGTCTACAAGAGCTAGTTCCAGGACAGGAACCAAAAGCTACGGAAAAAACTTGTCTCAAAAAAAAAAAAAAAAAAAAAAAGAACTAAACTACCAGGTTTAGAGAGACTCAACAACAGCAGGCAATGAAAGCGCATACATTTTCACACACCAAAGAACTGCTAACAAGATCCCAAGGACAAGACGTATGATACACAGACCACATTCCGAAAAGGAGATGTATACGGCCGCCTTTGCTTCATTTTCAGTTTGCTCTGTCATGTGGCATTCTGGCTCTTTCCTTTTGGCTCACCAATCAGCTGACTCTATTGACAAGAAATGGGTTGTTTACATGTTGTAGAAAACACAAAAGACAACAGACACGAAAGGTTCTTCTCTCTATCACCTACCCTCTCCTGCCTTAGCCCCCTCCCAAATACTCATTATCAACTTAGTCAAAACAGGGCTCAGAGATAACTGATTTTTCAGTAACGTAACCCCCTTTAATTTTCAAATCACATTTATTTTAGAGTGTGTGTGTGTGTGTGTGTGTGTGTGTGTGCGCGCGCGCATGCGCACACACGCGTGTGCTTGTGTGTAATGCCACAAGGCACACGTGGAGTTTAGAGGACAATTTTCTCTTTCCACTATGTGAGTTCCAGAGATTGACCTCAGTTATCAGGTGGGGCAGCACAACCTTTATTTATCAAACTATTTCACTAGCCTTTGGGGGTTTTTGTTCTGTTTTGTTTGTTTGTTTTAATTCTAGCCTGCTTTCTAAAGTGGTTTCACTGTCTCCCTCCTCCAAACATTGTATAAAGTAGAACCATATCATTCTTTTTCTCCCAGTGGTTATGTGATATTCCGTTACACAGAATTTTCTTCTTATTTGTTCCTGTTTATGCATTCCTTCATTCCCTTAATGATTACAGTCCACGCAGAATACATGACGTGAGGGAAGTTACAAAAGACACTTCCATAAACATCCTCATAGAATTAAAAAAGAAAAAGAAAAAAAAGAAAAAAAAACACCTTTCCTATTGCTTCAACATTCTTAGAAAGGACATAGGGTGATCCTTAGATAAACAACCAAGTAGAAACTCAATAAAATTTACTGATCAAACACCAGACTTTAGATATGTTGAAAGCAGAAGATAAAATAAAAGGTAAGTACTATAGTTGTATTTTTCCCTGCCTTAATCAGTTTGCTTTATCAAACCAAAGAAACATTTGTGAAAGCTGATTTACAGGGTGCCCTGGCGTAGAAAAGCAACTGGTAGGAACCATTTACCTACAAGCTGTCTTCTGCTCTCCTCCAACCTTCTGAAACAGGGTCTCACTAGGTAGTCCAGGCTGATCCATCTCTGGATCTTCTTACGTAATCCTACCCAGGGCTCAGATTATAGGTATGTACCACCACACCCAACCCTACCTAACCCTACCATACCTTTCTCTCAGGGGCACTGATTTCCTCTTCCCTCCCAGGGATCCAGCTCACAAATCTGGTAAACACTGTACCCTGTACCGCTGAGTTTGATTTCCAGCTCTTTCTCTCCTTCAGAAAGGTCATCAACATCATTTAGTCTTAAGGATTTATTTATCTTTATTTTATTTGAATGGTAGTTTTGCCTATTGCCTACGGAGGCCAGAAAAAGGCATCGGATCCCCTGGTAATGGAGTTACAGGGATGGAACTGGGTCTTTTGTGAAAGCAGCCAGTGCTCTTAACCTCTGAGTCATCTCTCCAGTCCAAACAAGCAACATTTTTGAAAAAACGATAAACCATGGATTTAGTTAACTTTATGCATTGCAAGAAAAGCTAAATTTAAAGAAAGACAAAGAAATCACCTCTTTCTGTACAAAGTTACTGTCAAAACATAGGCATTGAGATAAATAATTTGCTTTGTTAAAAACTGTGTTTATTTGTATGTGTATGAGTGTACAGGTATATCTGTGCATCATTAATGATTAATGTGCAGGGCCTACAGAAGCCAGAAGAGGGCATTGGAACCCCTCTGACTGCAGTTACAGAAGGTTGCAAGCTGCCATGTGGGGGCTGGGCATTGAACCCCTCCCCTTGTCTGTAAGAGCAGCAAGTACTCTTAACTTCTGAGCTATCTTGCCCAGTCCCAAAATTTGCCTTAAAAAAAAAAAAAAGCCAGCCGGGCGATGGTGGCGCACGCCTTTAATCCCAGCACTCGGGAGGCAGAGGCAGGTGGATCTCTGTGAGTTCGAGACCAGCCTGGTCTACAGAGCTAGTTCCAGGACAGGCTCCAAAGCCACAGAGAAACCCTGTCTCGAAAAACCAAAAAAAAAAAAAAAAAAAAAAAAAAAAAAGCCAACAGAGAAACTACACAAGGTTCACTCATAAATATATTCTTTTTTTTTGAACTTTTGAGACAGGGTTTCTCCGTCACTTTTGGTTCCTGTCCTGGAACGAGCTCTTGTAGACCAGGCTGGCCTGGAACTCACAGAGATCCACCTGCCTCTGCCTCCCGAGTGCTGGGATTAAAGGCGTGTGCCACCACTGCCCGGCCCTTCATAAATATATTCTTACTCATTTGTTTTTGTGTTTAAAGTTTTTAGAGTCAGGGTCTCACTTAGCCCAGGTTGGCCAGAAGTCCCTTTATGTGGAGGAGGGCAGGCTTGAAGTGATCCTGACTTTGCATCCAAAGAGCTAGGAATACTGGGCAGTGGTGACACAGGCTTTTAATCCCAGCACTAGGGAGGCAGAGCAAGTGAAGCTCTGTGAGTTCAAGGCCAGCCTGGTCTGTGGAGTGAGTGCCAGGACAGGCTCCAAAGCTACACAGAGAAACCCTGTCTCACAAAAGCAAACAGAGAGCTAGGCTTATGGGAGCGTCTCACCACACCCAGTTTTATTTTTTTAAGTGGCCTGGTGGGACAGCCAGCTGAAGCACAATAGGGCCACATGTCCCAAGCTGCCCATTAAACAGCCTTCCGCACACAACCTGTGCCTTCGTATCCGGCAACTGTGCACACAGGACTTTGGGGCTTCCAAAACCCTGTCCATGTACATAGTTCAAAAACCCTATAATGTCATTTTTTCTGAGTTCTGTAGAAATTTTTACTTATCCCTATCTCCTTAATGTACGCACATTTGAATCATAAAGTAGGGTGCGCGGGGCAGGGGTCACCCAAATTCACCTACATAGACTCTTGACCCTCTGTGTCACGCCTGTACCAGACACTAAGCCTCTGCATTACAGCTGTGGCTGTTGAGAAAAAAAAATTGTTGGTTCAAATTTCCATTTACTCGGACAGCATGCTAGCAAACCAATCCATTTCTATTGCCTTCTGGGCAAAACGCCTGGGCTTTGTAAATGTAAAATGAACTCCTACTGAAAAGGAAAAATAAACCCAAGGAAAAGAAATTTCATTGCTGATGCCCTTTTCTGGATTCCTACCTTTCTGGAGCCTAAAACCAAGGGCATTTTCCACCACAATGGTATCAAGCCTGTGGTTAATCGCAGGGCCATTTCATTTAACCTTCTGTATTGTGACATCGCCTTAGACCAGCCAGCTTGGGACCTCCCTCACGTGTTCAATTCCGCTACCATTAAACACCAAACATGCTTATCCTGACTTTTGTTAATTATATGTTCATTCCCATAGGACAGTCTGTGCGATCCTACACATATACACCAAAACCAGAAGGGAAGTAGGGACTGTCATAAAAAAAATCATTTCTATCAGTTAAATTCATTAAAGGTTCAGCAGTTGCCTCGATTCCTAGTTAGACGACCGTGGTTGGTTGACTTGGAGAACTATCACCAAGTGTGGAAACTGCAACCCCAAAGAAATGCCAAGCTTTGACCATTTCTTTAGACAGACGATCCTTTCTACCACCTCCTGCTGAGGTCACCAGAGAAACCACACACACGCTTACTTGTGCCCCCAAGGCAACAGAAACGCACACGTCCATTCACGTAGAAAGTCACCCTCCCACACTGCTCATTCTGGTTCCGGTTTCTCATCCTTGCCCAAAAGCAATTCACCTAACGGGGCAAATGGCAAGATGGTTAGCATCATTAACCTCATTAGGAACAAGCACCCTTCCAGCTCACCTAGAGGTGCCACTAGGCGCGGTGACTAACCCCGTCAAGCGGTCCTAGGATGTTTGGAAACCCACCCCCTTGACCTAGGCGGGGCACCACCCCTTGAGTCAGCGCGGGTGTCCCCGGCCCGCACACGTCGCAATCGGGAAGCAGTTTCCGAAACCCGAGGAGGTGCGGAGGTGGCTTATCCATTCTCGGGCCCCACCCCTGAAAGTTACTGGGAGCGGCACCCAGAGAACTTTCCCAGATTGATCCCCGCCCGCGTTCAGGGAGGTCTGCCGGGCTCTGCGCTCAACCTGAGGCTGGGAGCCACCTCGCGCTGCCTGCCAAGCCCCTCCTTCGCTGCACCTTCTAGGGCCGCAGAGGGGAGGGTCGGCTGTGACCGCCTTCCGAAGAAGTCGCACCGGTTTTTCGAGCTCGGCTGGACGCCGGGAAGAGACACGGCCGCGGGAGTCCGCGGGAGCCTCGGGCCCGGGGTGAGTCACGGCTGGGAGCCGGAGAGGGCAGGCTAGAGTGCGAGAATGAATGATGTCAGGAGCGCGCAGGGCGCGGGCAGGAGAGGGAGGGAGGGCAGGCCCGCGGTAAACAGAGCTGCGCGCTGCCCCGGGCTCCGCCGGTCGGAGACCCCGCCCTCGGCGCCGCCAGAGTCGCCCGGAGCCCGGTTCGCTGCAACGCCGGGACTGCGGCCTGGGGCGGAGCGGCTTCCTCAGCGGGCGAGACCCGCACAAAGTTTGCAGCTTTCGGGCCCGGTCCCCCGGGTCCTCGGCGCCCAGAGAGTGCCCCCGCCCCCGGCGTGCGAGCACCGGCTGCGTGCGAGCGGTGAGCGCCGGGCCGGGAGGAGGATGGGCTGCGGGCTGCGCGTCCTGCGGAGCGCGCGGGGGACGTGGCTCCTGCGGGGACGTGGCTCTGACCGCCACCGCCTCCCCCAGGCCGCCCCGCCCCGGGCATCTTTCCTCAGTTTTCGTGTGCTGGGGGTCAGCTGGTGGCTGTCTCTCCTCCCAGCCAGCTGCTCATTCATTTGTAACCCCTTTTCGAGCACTTGGTGGTGGCATTGAAATGGCACAGGTTAAACCGTAGATTGTGCAGCGCCACTCTGGGCGTCAGGGTTGAAGTTCGGGTGGCGAAGGAGAGACTGTCACTTGCTGAAGATCTGTGCACAAGAGCAGCCCCGGGCTGCCCAAGGGGACCTCCCTGTCTTTGGCATTCAGACCCGCGCCCCTTAAGGAAGGAAGACAGGGTTTGTCAGCACAGAGAGGTGGGAGTGGACCGTACCCTGTCACAGTTTGTGGGTGATAGTTCCATCTCAAAAGCAAATACTTCAAATGTTATTTCCTGTAATCTTTTATTAATTCGCCGTCCCTCTGTTTTCAAGACCTGCTTTTTCTATTCTAAGGTGACCTTAAAATAATTTTGACATGTGTTTGAACTTTTGGAGAGGTTCAACTCTTTTTGTCCGTGGGTTCGTGTGGACTTTTTTTTAACAGTTCCGTTCTTTGCATTTCACTCCTAGCGTCATCTACTAACCCTGAACTCTTGGTTTACATTTAACATCCGGAACCGTAAAATGAGATTAGGACTACTTCAAACAGTGTTGACCATTAAATAAGGGATTAATGCGGTTAGTTAATGAGGATGGAGGCACGAAGGTCTGATCATAAACGTCTTCTCCAAAGCAGACTCCACTAAACTGTAACTGTTGACCTGTAAGAAATCGCAAGTTCCAGGAGGCTGAGGTAAACGCCAGGTTCCCTCTGTGGAACCTGTCCGGCCCAGGTTAGCACGTGAAAGGCGGGTCTACTCCCTTAAAGTGGGAAGGGAGGTTTTTAAAGGAAGTCAAATGTTTCAGGGTGGATACCTAAGAAGGTTTTGTCCCCTCCCTCTGTTGTGAGAACTAATAAGTGTTTAAGAGACGTCAAAGCCAGTCCAGACAGACAAAGAATAAGACGCCTGGACTTTGCAGGAAGAAGGTATCTGTAGAGCGCTATCTAGCATTTCTTTCTTTCTTTCTTTCTTTCTTTCTTTCTTTCTTAATAAGAAGCAAGCAAAATTCGACTTGTTTGTTTTGTTTATAGCCCATTTCATTGGTCCGCTTATGATCTTATTTCATGCTGCTCTCCTAGCTGAAGAGGTTTTTGTTTTGTTTTGTTTTTTTGTTTTTTATTTGCGTTGATATTTTGCCTGCATGTATAAGGATGCCAGATGCCCTGGAGCTGGAGTTACAGCTTGTCTTGTGGGTGCTGGGAATTGAACTCGGGTCCTCTGGAAAAGCAGTCAGTGCCTTTAACAGCTGAGTCTGAGCTGTCTCTCCAGCCCCTTGGGTTTTTTTTTTTTAAAAGCAAGTTAATCTTTAATTTAATGTTGTTAGTTTCATTTTTAAATCCAGCTGGTTGACCTATGAACCTGCCGAGAAACTCGGGAACACACCAGTAAGTAGTCTGTTTCATCCTGTTCTGAGTTTCTTTTTCCCAGAGCTTGGTCAAAGCCCTAGGAGGTATTTGGAAGGATCTGAAGCATTTGCTCTGACATCTTACAACGCTGGGATGTGGGGAGGGGGCCGTGGCCATGGGGGGGTGCAGAGGAATCTAGGTGACCGGTAGGCCCTGTGTTAACTGTGCGACTCTCAGTGAGTTATGCTCTCTGCTGTTGTGGGACTTTAAACAAAATATACAGAGGTTATCTTACATTTGTTAAAAGAGACAGTGAAATACAGATTGTGACCTTTTTTTTCTTTTAAAGTGATACTTCCAGGTGATATTTTGAGGGAAAAGGTGGGAGGGGATGGGGGAAAAGAGAGACAGAGGCAGAGAGACTAGAGTCACTCTTCCTGTGTGGGGCTACCTGACCTTGAATTTGAGAGCCTCCGGCCTCAGTCTTCCCAGTGCTGGGATTTCAGGCGTGTACTACACTTCCCTACTTCCTCCTCTTCCTCCTCCTCTTCCTCTTCCTCCTCCTCCTCCTTTTAATGGACAATTCCTAATAATTCTGGACTAAAGAAGGAGCAGCCTTCCCCCGTCTTCTGGTAGAAGTGAATCCTGAACTACTAGTATCAGGTTGTCATCCAACTCGTATTTACTAAGCCATTTGACTTCAATGCAGAACATTTATTAAGCACCTATTCTATACTAGCACTGGTGTATACATAACAGCGCTGAGATAATGGAGATTCTGGTACTGCTCTTGTGACTTACAGTTCAGTCAACAAAACCCAAGTGCTATGGGGTTGAAAAGCAGGAGCGCTGGGAGCTGGGAGGAAACCAGAAATGACTGAACAGTGCTGGCTGCCTTCCTAGTGGCGGTCTGATGGTTCTTGAGTTGAGCTCCTTTATTCTTGGGTGACTGAGCACAATGCAGATAGCTTGCTTTTGACAAATTACCTTAAATAATGTCAAACAGGCCCACTGAAAAGAAATGTATAGGTAAGTTAGCTCAACCAAGATTGATTTCCTTTTGGCAAAGCCTTAAGATAGAGCTTTAAAAGGATTACCATGTGTGTCGGTATCCCCACGTCCTGCTTTCCCTTATATTAGGATTAATGTTACGAAGTAGTTAGAAAAATGGGCAGAATAGACCTATCACCTTAACAATCACTTAGCATTCTACCTTCCTGTTTGGGCACTCAAGTGCTGTGTGGGTTGAGATGACTGTGGACAGATGCTAGTGGTCCCTAGAACTACTCCCCACCACAGCCTTGGGAGGTGGCACTCTTGTGTGTCTGGGGGTCTTCCTTTTGTACCACATGCAGTGTTCGTGGAGGCCAGAAGAGGAAGAAGGGTCTTCTAGAACTCAGTGGCAGAAAGTTGTGAGCCTTCATGTCACTGCTGGGAAGCAAACCTGGGTTGTTGGGAAGAGCAGCCAGTGCTGTTAACTTCTGTGCCATCTCTCCAGCCCCAACGTAGACATTCTTTAACTTTTTATCGGGGAGAAAGTGATATATAGAGTTAATTAACTTCCAAAAGTTGCCCAACTGAAAAGTTATTCTCTACAAACCTGGGCTTGATTTTTATGTATTCTAACTTTCCCCCCAAACTCAATTATAAGCTACTCTTGTGTCACTAGGAGATTCTCATATAACACATATCATCTTTAGTTTTCTGAACCAATTCCATATTGAACCAAAACCAAGTTTGTTCCCAATTTTCAGTGTTTCTAAAGATTTCTTTTATTTTTAATTTTAATTATGTGTATGCATGGGTCTGTATGGAAGTGTGTGCAACTGAGTACTGGTGCCCTCTGAGGCCAAAGGCCTCGAATCCCCCAGAAGTTAAAGATGCTTGTGAACCTCCCAGTGTGGGGGCTCAATCACACCTGGATCCTGCGTATCCTCACTCTTCACTGCTGAGCCCATGTTTTCACTTCTTTTTAATTTTAGCAGCTTTGAATTAAATAGCAACATAGAATGATTATTCTTCAGTCACCACTTTGCTTTTTTTTTTTTTTTAAAGTGAAATCTATTTAATTTAGCTGTTTTCTTGAAAGGCCGTTTTTCAGTATTGAAAAAAATGTTCTGTTTGTTTATTTTCGAATCTTTACTGAAGAGATCAAATCCAGGGCTGTGCAGCGTGCCCAGCCCACGCTGGGTCACAATCTCTAGGGCCTCTCCTTTCTTTGAAATCTCACTTGTTCCTTACAGCTTTGGGCTTGAGGATCAAGCTTGGTGGAGCTGCCCAGTGGGAACTGGTTCTTTACTCTGGGGATTATCTGATGAAAAGAGAACATTCCAGCTTTCTTAAAGGACTGTTTATGTTTTTATTATTAGTCATGAAGCTAACCTTATTTTTTGAGAAAATACAGCAGAGAAGAACCGGGTTAATTTTGCCAGGCAGCTCTGAAAAAGAAATTTTATTTCTATAGTTACATCATCAGCACCAGTGAGATAACATTAAATATTTTCAGATATTATGTTTATATTATTATATTTAGTATATTAACTTTAGGATAAATTGCATCAATTTTTATTTATTTATTTGAGATAAATAAATAAAACTACATAGTGTTTCACTATGTAGTTCTGGCTGTTCTAGAGCTTACTATGTAGACCAGGCAGCCCTTGAACTCAGAGCCACCTGCCTCTGCTTCTTGAGTGCTGGGATTAAACAGGTCACTTTTTCACTTTTTCAAAAAGTTTGTGTGTCACCCGTATGAAATTGTCAGGTTGATTTAATGAAAATGCAAGCATTGCCCATTGTTTTCATTGCAAGTAGAGTACATTTCTTTGTATAGAGAATCTCAGGTTTTACAAGTATGTCAAGCCTTCTTTGTTACTGAGTCAAGTTTTCAATGTTGCCTTCTATTTTCATTTCTATTTCTAGTTAATATAAACTTTATGTTAGCCAGTCGTGGTGGCAGACACCCTTAATACCAGCTGTGGGTTCAAGGCCAGACCTGTCTTCATAGCAAGTTCCAGATTAACTAGGGCTACATAGTAAAACCCCGTCTCAAAAAAGTAATTGATTAGTTGATTTATCTGTATGGTTTT